TACGTTTAAAGCGGTAGTAGCTCGCGGAAGATTGTTTTAAACGGCTTGAAACGGCCAAGTTAAGCGGCTGAATTGTATGCTTTGTGTCTTCTGTCAAGGCGATCAGCAGGATGCCACGTTTGCAGCAGAAGTTCACCGGCTCTAAAAATCAAAAACCCGGTCAAAGTGGCTATGAGAAATAATTTAATTAATGAAAAGGTTTTGCGGAACTTTTCATTTATCGCATGCGTGCGCAGTCCTTCAATCGGGATACCGCTTTGCTGGTCTTGCGTCTCTTCAACAACGTACGTGACGGAAAAGAAGACGTCCGAGCGGCCTCGGTGTACGATTGACCGTTGCACACTATCGTAATAGGACTAGACGACTTCTTGCTTCTCGAAGTACCCGCGGCGCAACACCATCTGCATCATTCTTCAATCTTTTTTAAAGACAGAAAATGCCCCCATACTATACAAACCCTTTATAAAGAGATGAAATTACTTCGCACACAGCAAATCGCGCAGTAAATTAAATCAAATTCATTTGCCAATCAACTTGCTTGGATTCAAAATATTTAGATCTTCTAAAATAGTGATCAGCATCGTGCACTGAAGTTATACCATGCACAAACTGGTCGTCTACCTTACCAGAACTATATAATACCAAAGCATGAATAGCGACGTCTACTCACCACCCATTGCACGCGTCTAGCATCGATTGAAAAATATATGTCTAATATTCTTAATGCAATAGCACTGAGCTCAGTGATGTTGAATTGAGATTATTAGACATTTTTCTTTCTAGTATTATGATATATTCACACACACACACATTTTTACTATTTCCCCCTGGAACCAATACAGGGTGTATTTTACAACGAAAACGGAATCAATAATGGCAACTATATCAATTGTTTATACGCACTACCATTCACTTTATAACTTCACAACTACCATAAAGAACTTCTTGATATTTAAGCAGTCTGATGGGTTCTTCGAAGTCAAGTACCATTCAGCAAAGGAGATGATCACGTCTCTCCAATTAAAAGCGCGCAAGCTTAAGGTTTCTCTCTATATCTTCAGGTCCTACTGTAAAACAGGGAAAATGATTGTTGTGTGCGACCGAGCGGGACCATACAAGTCTACTGCTGTCGCGCGAAATACCAAGCCAAAACGTACAGGATGAGAGTACCTACTCGTAGCGCGACAGATCGGCGTTGACAAGATGTGGCCGGTGACTAAATATGAAGGAGTGCAAAACCATGACATGTCCACAAACCTCGACATGCATTCTCGCGCTAGACAGCTATCAACTGAGCAACAAAGCAAGCGCATTCGACAAGAGAGAGCAGGTGTGCGGCGAAAATAGTAACTTTCGTTCTTCATACAGGAGTATCCGGATAACTGCAGCGATAAGCAGGGACATATACAAGGACAAACAGAAGGGGTGCAGAGAATGCTTTAATAGACGTATGCCGATTTAAGCGCTTTTGGACGATCTGCAAGCACAAAAATACTGCTATGATCTCAGTATTGACGTAAAGGGTCGAATCTGCCGCTTAGTGTTTGTAAATCCTCAATCCATCGCTCTTGCTGCAAAGTTCTGTGACGTCATCGTACTCGACTGCACGTACAATACAAACAAGTTCAGGATGCCCATGCTTAATTGTGTCGGCGTCACCCCGTTTGGAAAGTCATTCTTCATTTGCACAACATTTATGCCAAGGAAGGACGAGAAAAACTAAAAATGGGCACAAACCGCTCTTGAGAAGGATCTTCATAAGACGAAGAATTCACGAAATTTCGCGAGTTCTGGTCATATACTACGATTCGGCTCTCTTAAACGCTAAGCAGCAAGTATTTTCGAATGCGACATGATTGTTGTGCCGCTGGCACATGTTTAAAAATGTTTTCGCCAGGTGCAAAGTTCACTTTACGGATAAAAGTGATTGGATAGAGATGATCACGGACTAAAGAGATCTCTACTATGCACCAAGTGTCGAAGGTTTCGGTGGGACGAATTTCAGACCAAGTACCGACATGTCCCTTTCGTCACACGCTTCCTGGATAGAACGTGGGTCAAGCACAAAGAGAAGTTTTGTTTTAGCGTGAGTGGGAGACGTCCTCCACCTTGTCGGTTTCCACTACATCCAGAGATGAGTCAGTACATTCGTACCTGAAGCGCTTTTTACGATCGCCGGTTGGTGATCTTCTTACAGTTTTTCAAAGTCTCCACTTGGCGATCGAGCACCAAGTGGTAGAGTTGAACAAGATGCACGCTGATGATCTCATGAAACGATTAACATTCGCAGCAGCGCCCATATACACCCAGGTTGTGTATAAGGTTTCTTCTTATGCGCTCACCCTTGTCCAGGAACACCATGCATCCACCTATCAATGCGATTCCAAGTTCCGAATGACTATGGGCCTACCGTGCAAGCACTCTGCTTAAAAAGGAATCAACGCTGATGCAACCTTCACAGTAAATAAATTTAGACTTGCATTGATGGTTGGAAAGAGTTTACTCCTGCTTCTGCTTGCACAAGATGTGAAAAGAGACGTTCAAATGGATAACTTGGTACCACATCTATTTCAAGTATTCGACTCAGCACCAACCCAAAAGAAAAGTGCTATTCGAGCCCACATCACTGGTACAAGATTGACGGGTACAAGCGTGTCGGTGAGCGATCCAGTCGAAACAAAATCAAAAGGAAGACCATCCGGAGTAACAAACCGACAAAATCAGCTGCAAGACCCGTCTACGTTTGGGTATATCGAGGGGTCTGCCATCTTGACTCGAAAGGGCAGTATCTGCAGGCAATATGGGCACAACAAGCGCTCATGAACCAATTTTGCAAGGGTGTAGAAGATACTCAGTTACGTACAGCGATCGTCGAATCGGTTAGAGGCGTGGGCACAGTTAAACAAGCATCACTCATTGGCCCTGGCGGACAAAGCATCGTGGTCTATGTATCGTCAACTTTATGGCTACAAACACACCAAAACAACAAGAAAACAACAAAGCAAAACGGAAGAGCACCTGTGGGTCTTACTGGACGAGAAATTAGCATGTTCGCAATCTGCTTCATTCCCGATAATCGTAGAGCTGATAAAGGGTCGGTATTGCAGTATACGACACGTTTGTGCTATTCTTGTTATTCTTCGTCTTGGCCCCTATATTAAAGTAAGCAGTGAGATTATGGACCAGCATGTGATCCAATTAGTACGCAACCACGGCACTGTGACAGGTTCGTATGACGCAACAAAAAATTTAAGCACAGTCGTGTAGCGCCGCTTGAGATCGTGCATGTGCGCAAATGTCGTTCGTGGGATTCTACATCTCTAGCATCAATCTTCCGGACATCCTAGGCGTGCCCGTCATCCGCTTGACCATATAGGAAAACATTTTTCATTGTTGTCAGCTCTAACCGAGATTATAATCCACCTTTTAGACAATGCGTACATTGTATAACACTTGTATACCCGCTTGTCTTCTGCAGCACGAAATATAAAGTGAATTATGGTTTAGCTTTCTCTGTTGATCTCAGCTACTTGTTGTAGTACTGCAAACATGTATATATACTAGCTTCTAGATCTCCGTATCTAAAAGCTCACACGACTGCAACCTTGGTGTCTCAACCATCCGTGAAAACATTGCCGTTTGCCAGTTGAACAAGCACTATGTCAACGCTCATATTCATAATAGACGTGGGACAATGTTGTACGCAAGATCATCTTTTTTATAAAATAGTCATACGCGGCGTGTGACCTTGTGTATCGCACTGTATTATAACAAATAGAAGGCACCCTGTTTTGGTTCCAGGGGGTGGAAATAGTATAAATGTGGGGTGAAAATATCATTACCCTTTTTTCTATTATCAAATTGTCACAGATGATAATATTATGTACCAGGCTCACCCCGTTACAAATCACATATTCTAATTAGGTGCTACATGCACCGATGTTTGTATACTGACATGGTACAAACTACCTTTACGACTTAAGTGTAGCCATATGACTCGCAAACTTGCGTACACCGTTCGTGCAGAGTTAGGCGAGTTTTTCTAAAGAGCACTCCAAGTAGACGGTATAGGTGGGACTGTCCCAAGTCTATAGTCAAAGCATCATAAAATTTACATGTCTTACTTTCTCTATATTGAACGAGAAGTTCGTAATAGAGCTACCTGCTCAGCACATTGCGCGCGTCTAAGTGCGACTGGTGGTTTTGTTGGCTGGCATGATACTGTAATAAATATCAATGAATAGTGCAGTATGCCGAATATTACCTTCGACGATATTATTGCTATGATATTTACTAAGGAAAGGGAATATTAAAGAAAAATAACAAATGCGATTATATTCTCATTCACCCACTTTTATTGTCAATGTCATAACACGGGCTCACCGCGTTACAAGGCATATCGACTTTGCAACACAAAAGATGATAAAATGTACATCATAGTGCCATACATGTCCAAGGATCCAACGTGTTTACACGAGTCTAGCTGTTCTGTATCTACTACGCGCGTAAAGGGGATCAAGTAGGCTGAAATTGCGCATCGGTACATGAATGCACTTGGCACTATAGACACGACGTTACCATATCGCAACAATATGCACGTTTGGCCTGCTGACAAGCGAAGCTGAGTCGATGTTAGAAGGCATGTAGCTCGCGATGTATCTCAATAGGCTCATCCGAGTTAACCCCAACACGTAGAAGAAAGTGCGCACCTGGTCCGGTCAACCTCTTTTTCAAATGTAAACAGCAAGGGGTAGGGTTCTTCGTCTAGCGTACGATGGCACCATGTTTTGGCCATTAGTCGCTGGCGTCAGCCTCCAAATGCACCAGCGAACCTCTCGCTTCTGATTGGTCTGACATTCTACCACCGAATCGTCACGTCGCTTTCCTTCGGCCCCTACTTTCGTGCACCGTCAAACATAGCGCCAATGTCGACTTCGTCGGCGCTAGTAGTGTCCCCTTCCCCTGCCCCTGCTCCGCCCGAGGAAGATGCCGAGCTGCCCATGGACTTATCCCAGCTGCCTGCGATCCCCGCCACTAATTCGCTCTTGCTGATCAACAACTTTGTGGCGAACACGACGCGCTTTTTGAACCACTTTGCGCACGAATGCGAAGAGCGCGTGACGCGCGTGTCCGACACGGTCACTCGCGTCGAGATCTTATTGGCTATTTTAGAGGCAAAGCTGAACAGCATCCCCGACCTGACCGTGACCGATGCAGAAGTGGCAGCCGCAGCTTCCGACGACATTCGAAAGTTGAACTCGAACCAGATGGATTTGGGGATCTCAGATCAAGACTTGCCGTCGATGGATAGTGTCGCAGCAGCAGCCGCAGCCAATGACATGCCGTTGCCGCTTCCCCCACCCCCAGATGAGCACGTTGACGTTGAAGTGGATGGAATGGCACTGCCCCCACCTCCTCCGTCGATGGACGGACTGGACATGGCCCTTACCGTGCCTCGCCCGCCTTCTTCACCTGGTGCATTGTCTGTAATCGATGCTCTGCCGCCTCCACCACCGCCGCCGCCGTCGTTGGGCGACTTTGGCACGCCCGACGCCACGGAAATGCAGAGTGATGGTCCTTCAATGTTGAAGTTGAAGGACGACCCTGTCTATGCCAAGTACTTTACAATGCGACGACTGGGGATTCCCGATTCAGTGATTGAGCACAAGTTGCTGATGGACGGAATGGGTACAGACGTTCTGACGATGGATCCAGACGGCCCGTCGCCGAGTGGCGCACTGGCGCCGACACACAGCGCAGAGCCGTCGGGACCGATTCTGCCCATCATGGCGCCCCCGCTACCACCTCCGCCGCCTTCGGCCGAATCAGAAGCCGCCGATAGCAGCGACGTGGACGAAGACGACGATGGTATGACGGAATCCGTGCGGTCTCTGTCACCGCCGCCTCCTGCTCCTCCGTCACTAGTGAAACAGCCGCAGCAGACGGACCAGGTACCGTCAGGGAACATTGGACTGCCGTTCCCGCCTCGTTTGCCGCCAAGTTCTCCTACGGTTCGTTCGCTATAGAGCCGTTTGTTCGTGCGCGTTGGGGCACTCGACTGCCGACTGTGTGTGTTTCGGATTCGTTTTTACATTTGCTGACGATTTGTGATTGTTGTTGCGTGCCATGCAGCAGTCTGCCGAGCGATCGTCTACGCTATTGGGCGGTGCATTGCCAGCTCCACCGCCGCCGTTGCCGTCGCCTGAAAACGCGCTGGAAGGCTCGAGCGACGACGATATCGAAGAGTTTGACGCTGACGATCGAGCGTCTGGTGCTGGCGACGCTGGCGTGATGAAAGTCAAGGACGATCCTGCGTTTGAAAAGTCAGTAGCGAACGGGGCGTGTCTGGACGTACGAGAGATGTGCTGATATTGTGCGGTGACGATGTATTTGTTGCTGTTGCTGCTGTAGGTACTTTAAAATGCGAAAGCTGGGGATGCCAGACAGCGTGATCCAGCACAAACTCATGATGGACGGCGTTACTGCGGACATTCTCAAGTACGTGACAAAGGACTGCGTGGAAGGGCTGAGGTTGTGGTCTTGCTGATTGAGCGTTTGTCGTTATTGACGCATGATAGCATGGATCCGGAAGGACCGTCTCCGAACGCCACGAGTGCAGGTTCGACTGTATCGATGGCTACAGTAAGAGACGGTGCTGACCTTCCACTTCCTCCAATTTTGCCGCCTCCTCTACCACCTGGAGGATTACCGCCGCCTCCTGCGGGTCGATACGACGATTCTGACTCCGATTTTGACTCTGATTGATGATGCTATTCTTTGCGTGTCGATGCCAGTTGACTGAAATGCCATCATTAATCTGATTTGACTTATTTCCCTCTTATGTTTGTCGTTTTCGCGGAGTGAAGACACAGTGCTGGCCTAGAAACATGGCTGTTGCAATGATGCTGTACCGCGGGGGCAGTTCGCTCTACCAGGAGATAGTACTGTAGTGCCGCCATTCTACTTGGTCTGTGGCAGTACACTCCGTCGGGCGATACTCTCTTTCTCTCTGTGGCTCCAGCTTTAGTGGCGTTGTGAAGCGTTGCAATAGGCTTCTGCACCACAGACAAGGAGCTGATCACAAATTTACACCCGATCCGTCGAACTTGGAGTGCTGTCACTGGGGAGGCAAAGATAAAGGTGCCGTTTAGCTAACGTCAAACCTGGCAGGTTTACTTATGGACAAAGACGTGGAGGAACTGGGCCCGCACCAATTTGATTGGTATGCTTCTTCGTTTGCTTGGAAAGGGGCCACCTCAATTCACTCTGCGCTCCAGCACAGACAGGATAGTGCAACACGTTGTCGATTGTTCACGCATTGTGAAGGTGCCATGAAGTTGGGCTTGGTGCACAGAATCTACTTACTCTTTCATTTAGTAGCGAATGCCGTTGATTTCGTTCTACTTGGAATTTTGCAATGCTGAGGATGACGTGATCGGCAAGAAAGATGAAGATGTGCAGTATCACTCGTTTGCACCTACACCCAGACTCGGTTTCCTACGGGCACCGTCTACAGCTTACGTGTTTGTTCGCATGCATGATGAAACGGAAGGAAGTGGCGACACTCACTATACTTCTGGAAGTGTTTGCGTGGTCAAAGCAATGACTTTGTGATTCAGTGGCAAGATGTTGTACATGTCGACCGCTGGATGAATCGTTTGTGCTGCAAAGGCAGCGAAAGCAAGGACCCAAGAACGCGTACGTCATCTTGGATCCTTGGTTCTCACGCTTCACGACAAACTACAGATAGTCCATGTTATGCGATGATGATGACTCGGGCCTGCATAAGGAAGTCTGCCTAGCAACTCGGTCCGACATTAGTACTCTGACGCGTTGCATTTTGCAGTCGTGGACACCGCAATGGATGATGTAGAGCTAATGAGCCAAAGTTTCACGTTTGTAAATGTCCTCGTGTGGACATAACACAAACTACCAGCATTGATGGCAGTATTGCAAACTTTGTTGGTTACCGATGTATCCAACAAGGGAGGATTGTGCGCGAAAGCTGAAGGACTGGCCATCTGATCACAACTGTCTCTCTTCGATACTGTGTTGTTGCCCTTCATGACAATCGGATGATCCGGTGATGGAGCATACATTTTGTTATCTCTACATGTTGGTCAAATAGTAGCTATGTCTTGTGAGAGATGCGGTCATGATTGTCGCGATGTCTCCAGGCATCGACAGTTGTGGGTATAGACGGTGAATGTGGATTTGTCACGAGCTAACAAATTCGGGAAATACCACTTAGCACTGTCATTGTGTGTTCCAGACCTGATTGACAAGAATGAGCTGAGATACTCTCGGTGACGGCTTGCAATTTAGCGAAGTAATGCGCTTGACTGATGCACAAAGCAGCTCTTGCGGTCAAGACCAAAGCTATTTGTACCTGCCACGGCCTACCTCCCAGGAGATACTGGTGTCCAGTCTCATGAGGAGGAAGCCATCGCCAACAACTCGGATACGCGTTAGCAAACAGACTGTGTAGTTGCTCTCAACAAGTGGGTAAAGCACGAGTGATTTCATATATCGAGCAGCAGATCGCATTTGCTGGTTCAACTTGTAGATACGGATATGACGAGTTACAACGAAACTGAAAGCGAATGACGGCGGCAAAACTACCGTAGCACGTCCAGGTCACGCATCAGCGGTCCTATCAGCCTTGCTGCTCATTCCCATGTTCTCAATCGGTCGAGGCACGTGTGAAATATGTCGGTACTTCACACACAAACCGTCGCCCCATCTCACGTTCGTCAACATGGCCACACGAACACGTGCGCGCTCTCCTCTACCCATTACAATTTTGGAACCTTGACCCGACGATACTCTCTTCTCATCGTTTCCATCTGCTCAGCCACCATACTGTCTACGGCAGCATCCAACGACTCGAGTATCACATCACTTTGACCAGGCTGTGCAATTCGTCCCCAAGACAGCACAAGTTCATGCAGACGCTGCCGGCCACTCAAACGCTTTGTTTCAGCTTCGGAGAACTTGGCCCCAGTGATGTTGAACGGACATTCGATTCGTTTTGTGGGAAACGGTCCCAGGTAAACATCCGCCGGCCGTGCCTTCACGTAGTACACACCTTGCTCTGCCGGCTTGAAGCGCAAGACGCGATCACTATTGAGGTAAAAGAGCGGCACATCCTCAATGTGGTCCTGCTCGATCGGAAAGAGCTGCGCCATATCGCCACAGAGAGTCGACTTCCCTTCGCCGTGGTCTTGATAATCCGTACCGACACCGCTGATCGTGTAGGCAGAAAACGAGTATTGCGTTTCGGCCAACTCTGCAGCGTAAAAGTACATCTCCTTGTCACCGTAAGACGGCGGTGAGCCCACATCACAAAGTGCCTTGAACGAGGCGAGAATGGCAGTAGCTCGCGGCTGTTTCTTCTTGTTCCAGAACAAGAGAGACGAGTCCATCTGATGACCAGTGCGGAGATTCCACGAGTGACTCGTAAACAAGTAGTCACTCGGCTCGTACTTGGGCGTGAGCGGAACAGGGTTTGGAAGCGTAGCTTTCGCCCGCTCGAGCGTCGGGATGAACCGGAACGGAACAGGGTCAAAATTTGCCATGAACTCGTGTTGGCGCGACAACCGCGAGTTCCCGCGCATGCGCTCAGCCATGAAAAAGATCTCGTGCGCGTGGCGGTCGTTCATGAACAACGTGCCCGTGGCTTTGTACTTTGCCGAGTCCCAGAGTACCGTGGGCTTGACAAAGAAGGCCGTGTCGGCATCCACCAACATGAGCTCCTCAAATTGCGAAAACACGACGGCCACGACCTTAATGTCAAAGTTGCGAAACTTCGTGTGACAGGCCGTCACGTTCGGGCAAAAGACTTTCTCGGGTCCGTCGGGTCCATTGTCGGCCGTCGCGGCTGCAGCTAAGTCGCAAACGTCGTAGAACCGGATATCCCCCAGTGCTGTCTTTTGCAACAACAGCGTCTGGGCCTCGATCGAGACGTCGCCGCAGTACGGCAGCTCAATGGGTTCGTCCACGCCCATTGTCCGGAGTTCGAGAATCAAAGACGCAGCGATTTTGACAATCTTTTCGTACACGGGAATCACAATGCCACGTGGCTGGGACGTGTTCTGGCCAATGTCGTACAGCGTCTTGATGAACTGCATCTTCTTGCCATCAACGCCCCCCGTGGCATTGAACGGCGCGAGGGGCTCTGTCCAGTGGAACGCAGTTGCTGTCGCAGACGCGAGCGTTTGAGTGTTCCAGGCGAGTTTCAGGTTGAAATACGCGGCAACGAGGCCGAGGAGGAGGAGGAGGCCGATCGACAGCGCGCGAAGCGAATAGCGTTTCGTCGCGTCTTTCATGGCAAAGGCAGAAGTGCGATCCGTTTGTCGAACCTGACTGACCCGACGTGCGTCGTGGTGTTGTCGCTGCTCTTTTGGGGTAAGTAGTCAGACACGGAATTTGCAGAGAGAGAGCGAGAGAGAGAGAGAGAGAGAGAGAGAGAGAGAGAGAGAGAGAGAGAGAGAGAGAGAGAGAGAAAGAGAGTGGGCGACTACACGTGTTCGCTGGCGAGTCGACGGTAGAAATAGCGGACAGACGATCGAAGTTTGGTGCGAGTTTAGCGAACTGAACACTTGGGTTGCCACGTCTGACTGGATGGACCGATCATCTTTCGTTGCATCGATTGCATTAGTGTCGCCACGTGAAGGGATCCCGTCTTGTATCGCGTCGTTTGCGTCCAGCCGGTCGACTGCGTTTTTGACACGTTTGAGTCTACACGTGCTATTGGAACTGTATTGCAGCACGTGGTCTACTACCACATCTCTGGATCAACGTAATGCGAACGACTGATTTGTAGCTGCGAAGCCACGCGTCGGCTTCGAGGTGTAGGGCGATGCAACGAGTGTCGATAGTTGGCATGCGATCGAGCTTGTAGCGCAGAGTGATTGCGTGGACAGTAGAGATGAGCACACGTCGAAGTGGTTGTGGCGATCGCGGAGAGACTTACCGGCAGACACAAAAGAACGGTGGTACGGCCATGTCTGGACGAGAAACACGTGTGAGTGTGTGCCCTACGTGAAGAGCTCAAGGTGAGCTAAGGACATGACCCAGTCTTGCTAATTGAGGCTGATGCAACACCGACTCCTAGTCCGTATCGGCTACATGATCAGGATCGTCGCCTACATGCTGTTTTTGAGACTTTACATGGATTCACTCTACTCGATACACCATATGCATGGACAGCAGCATTATCTCGAAGATGGTCGTGTGCGCTGCCATGACGGTCAGCAATGCACATGACATGCATACACCAAGCGCGTAGAAGTGCGGTGCGAGGCGCAAGCTGTACCGATCGTTGCCTGAAGCAGCCCTATAGTTGTCGGTGCTGAGACACCGAAGGAGGTCTTGGAAGTGGTGCTTTGGGAACAGTACAGCTGGTTTTATCGATCGATAGATTCGGCAGTCCAACAATTGGATGCAGTCCGATATATATCGCTCGACCGTTAGAGAGTTCCGTACATCCTGCATGTGGTAGATCGTCGTGCAGAGCGATGAGTAGTAGGCCGTAGTGGTCTAAGCTGCTGAAGCACGAGGTATACCTGCCGACGACGTGTAAAGTCGTGGTCACATAGCAAGGGAGGAACTTCAGGTAGTGGCGGACTGTGGCACAGTAACGATGCGTTTGACCATAGGCACACTAAGGCACCTCGAGTCGACTCTCGAATACCCGATCCCAAGTCCTATGATATGCGCCGTCCTGTTGTACGTCTGAGCAACAGGCTCAACTCGACCCTCAAGCTCGACATTCTTCTTGCAGCAAAGAGAGGCATATCGTCCGAGGAATGCCTCCATGTCGCTTGGTCCTTCGCCGATCCTCGTCACGCAAGTCAACGCACGATGTGACTCATCTGCGCGTGATGATGCGCGAGTTGCACCAAACAGTACCGCTATTCGCAGCAATTTGCTGTACATCGATCTCGTAGTTTCCAGAAAAGACGCTACGAATGCTGTAGCTGTCCTGTCCGTCAGTCTGCAATGTCGCACACGTTCATCAATTTCTTGGACAAAGATCGAGGTCTTAATCTGTTCACACAAATACCACAAGCCTTTGCCCAGTAGCGCTCGACACACTCTCGGTGCCAGATCGATCTTGCGCTTGCAATAGGGCAAGCAAAATACTCACTCGACTCTCTGTGTGACCTTTTTTGCTTTCAACTACAGTTACTGAAAACGTTCATCGCCCTATCGCTAGTGTCAGCAATTGTGTATTCGAGTTGCCAGGCTATCGTCGTCATCTCCTTCTTCGTGTTCGCCATGTGCGCACACATCGGTTGGCGATCAGCAGCGGCCACACAATTGCAAGTATCGTCGACTACCAGGACGCTTGCGCTTGGTACCTAACAAGATCTACTTTATGTGCAAATGCTTCCAGCATGGTAAGTGCCGAGCAGCACTGCGTCAACGTCCACCGTGTTGATCACGCAAGACGCATTTGAACCGCCCTCTGCTTCTTCTGCAATTGCATCCATCTGTCGCCTGACCTTCTGAAACACGTGACACTCGGCCACTCCTTAATCGACTTTACTGAGATCATAACTGAGATCGTTTGCCTGACACGTTGGATCGCTTACAGCTTTGCTGCATCGTTTTCCGCATGTCTCCTACACTCTTATCAGCAGCTCATGCACACATCCGGCTACTCCTTCTCACATCCCATCCTTCAAAAGGATCCTCTCCCAGCACGAACTACATCAACTTGCAATACCCTCGTCGTGCGACTAAAGCAAAAGGCACACCTGCCGAGGAGCTACAGCAAACAGTGGACAGATAGTGTCTGCCTTTAGCATGTCACGTTGGCACTTCCATGCTCTTTTGGCAGTTGCGACGTGCCCCACCATTGTGATCGAACAGACATACGAAACTATTCCCCCACACGGCACACATCCAACCGCCGACACTGACAAGTATTGAGTCTACATGTTATTCGACACCCTTGCGGCCGCCTTACGAGTAGAGAGAGCAACAAGCCTTTCTATTTTCTGGTCGTTATTCCATCTGTAGAAGCTGTCGTCACGCCGCCCACGCGTTCCGAGCGTCACATCCCACGAGACGATCAAAACCCGTCACGGCGACAAGCTGCACGACAATACACAAGAAGCGGCATCTCGAGCCACGAGCGACTCGCTCGTCGACCCCATCCCCAATGCGACGTGTCCATAGCTTATTTCTTCTTGGCACCGCCCTTGGCCGACGGCTCCTTCTTGTTCACCGACTTGATGACGCCCACCGCCACCGTCTGACGCATGTCACGCACGGCAAACCGACCCAGAGGCGGGTACTCGGCAAACGACTCGACAGTCATGGGCTTCGACGGCTCCAGCACCACCATGCAGGCGTCGCCCGACTTGACAAACTTGGGCGCCGTCTCCAGCACCTTGCCCGATCGGCGGTCCATCTTCTCGATAATCTCTTTGAACTTGCACGCCACGTGCGCCGTATGGCAGTCCAGCACGGGCGAGTAGCCGTTGCAAATCTGACCCGGGTGGTTCAGCACAATCACCTGCGCAGTAAAGTCCTGCGTGCCCTTGGCCGGGTCGTTCTTCGAGTCCGACGCCACAAACCCACGACGCAGCTCCTTCACCGACACGTTCTTCACGTTAAAGCCGACGTTGTCACCCGGCAGCGCCTCGGGCAGCGACTCGTGGTGCATCTCGACCGACTTGACTTCCGTCGACAGACCCACGGGGCCAAACGTCGCGACCATACCCGGCTTGATCACACCCGTCTCGACACGGCCCACCGGTACCGTGCCAATACCGCCAATCTTGTACACGTCCTGGAGAGGCAGACGCAGCGGCTTGTCCGACGGACGCTTGGGCGGGTTCAGGTTGTCCAGCGCCTCGAGCAGGTACGGGCCCTTGTACCACGCCATGTTGGGCGAGCGCTCAATCATGTTGTCGCCCTCCCAGCCCGAGATCGGCACGAACGGAATCTTGGCGGGTTTGTAGCCCACCTTCTTCAAGTACGTCGTCACCTCCGACTTGATCTCCTCGTACCGGGCCTGGCCGTACATGACCGACGAGTCGTCCATCTTGTTAATGGCCACGACCATCTGCTTCACGCCCAGCGTGAACGCCAGCAGCGCGTGCTCGCGCGTCTGGCCCTCCTTCGAGATACCCGCTTCAAACTCGCCCACGCCCGAGGCGACGACCAGAATCGCGCAGTCGGCCTGCGACGTGCCGGTAATCATGTTCTTGATAAAGTCACGGTGTCCCGGGGCGTCAATGACCGTGAAAAAGAACTTGGGCGACTCGAACTTCCACAGCGCAATGTCGATCGTGATGCCGCGCTCGCGCTCGGCCTTGAGGTTGTCCAGCACCCACGCGTACTTGAACGACGTCTTGCCCAGCTCGGCCGCCTCCTTCTCGAACTTCTCGATCGTGCGCTTGTCAATGCCGCCGCACTTGTAGATCAGGTGGCCCGTGGTCGTCGACTTGCCGGCGTCGACGTGGCCGATCACGACCAGTGAAATGTGCACCTTCTCCTTGCCCATTCTTCTCTTGCCTAGCGGCCGAAACGATTCAGCAGTTGGCCACAGGACAAGCAGTCAATACAGACACAGCAACAAAACACATCCATAAGACACAGCGAACACAATGCGGAACAAGCGGCCGCCGCGCGCACCTTTTGCTTCGCTGCAGAACGAATAATGAGCGCCGCGGGGGGACGAGGGGGAGGCCGCGGCCACGAATGGATGGCGCACAGCGTTTGCCGATATTGCGGTTCTAGACTGAGGTTTTGGAGCGGCTGGCCAATGAACGCCACGAGTTGCCAGGCGCGAGGCGCGGGCGGGCGGGGTAAAACCTCAGCGACATTGTATGCCCGAAACGAAACGGCCCCCAGTCGGCCGCAGAGCCGGAAGTCGGGTGTCGAGTCCCTCTCCTCGCTGCCTCCCGTGACAATCTACGACCGCCCAACGACCACAAACTAACTGCCCGACAAGTTCCTTGACAAACTGTCCCCACACATGGCAATACAGCGCTTTACAATAGTTAACAGTCGGACAACACGCGACGCAAGTGCCGCGTGCTCCCATCCGGTAGTAAGCAGCTGCACTAATAGCAAATGGAAACACGTCAAGTTCGTCCTGTACCGCGCTCTCCCTTGCTGCGTCTCTTCGCTTCTGGCTGTCTATCTGGCTGGCTGGCCGCCGTTCACGCACCAGATTTGCACCGGTAGCAGCAGTCAGCCGCCCTTGTTGCCGCGTAGCAGATCGCCTAGTTGTGCATCGTCTCCAGGTACTCCTTGCACTCTGCCAGCTCCTGCTCGTGACGGGCCTTCGACCAGCCGAGCAGCTGCCCCATCATATACACCACGCGCGGCATCAGCTCCTTGCCTACCCCACTGTCAATGAAAGCGAGCCGCATGCGCCGGCCGAGAATATCAGTCGCTTTCAGCGCATATTCCTGTTGCACAGCAAACACGACCTCGGCTTCCAAGTACGGGTACTTTGGGTGCAAGCGGCGCGGGTGGTCGCTCGGCTTGCGGTCCAGGAAACCGGCCTGCTCGATCGCAGCCACCTGCAGCGCACGCGTGCCGTAGTTCCGCATGAGGTGCTCGGCAATGTCCTTGTCGAGGTCGTACTTCTCGCGCAGCGTGACCGTGATCTTGTCGAACTTCTTGTTGCACACTTCGCCCACGCGGTCGGCGCCAATGATGCCCACGGTCTTTGTCTGGCACGGCAGTGCCTTGGTCCGGAGCTCTGGGACAGTCTCCACCAACTTGTCAATGGCGTCCTGCGCCATGCGGCGGTACGTCGTCCACTTGCCGCCCGCAATCGTCACCAAGTTGGACTCGGCCACTTCGACCACGTGCTCGCGCGAGATCTTGGACGTCGCGCCGTCCGCGTGCCGCGGGTCCTTCACGAGCGGACGGATGCCCGACCACGCAGCTTTCACGTCGCTGCGGGTCACGTCCTTGGCCAAGTACCGGTTGGCTTCGTCAATGATAAAGTCCACTTCGGCCTTCGTGGGCGTGGGCAGCATCGTAATGTCCGACTGCGAGTCCGTTGTGCCCGCGAGCGTTCCGTTCTCCCACGGCAAAAAGAACAGCACGCGGCCGTCACTGGTCTTGGGCACGATGAGGCCCATGCGATTGGGGCTAAAGTGGTCGGGCAGCACCGCGTGCACACCCGCGGCCGGGACACAGATCGCAGCCTTTGTCGGGTCGTCCATCTGCCGGATCGCGTCCGTGAACGGCCCCGTGGCGTTCACGACGGCGCGCGCCCGCACAGTCCACTCGTGGCCTGTCAGCGCATCGCGCACGCGCGCGCCGCACACTTTGCCGTCGTCGTCTTTGCGCAGCTCCGTCACGCGCACGTAGTTGGCGACCGTCGCGCCGTTCTGCGTGGCCGTGAGCGCGAGCGCCACGTTCATGCGCGTGTCGTTCATCTGCCCGTCGTAGTACACGATCGCGCCCTTGAGGCCGTCGCGCCGGAGCATCGGGAACTGGAACATGGCTTCGTCGGCGCTAATGTAATAGCTGCGCGGCACAAAGCGCTGCGCGCCCGCGACCACGTCGTAGGCCTTGGCGCCCGCCCACAGATACGGCACTTCCCACCACTTGTAGATGGGAATCATAATGGGCAGCGGTCGGTTCATGTACGGCGCCGCCGCGAGGAACAGCGCGCGCTCGGCCAGTGCTTCGGTCACGAGCTGAAAAGCGGCGTAGTCGCACTTTAGAAACGCCGTTTCTAAATACCGGATACCGCCGTGGATGAGCTTCGTCGAGCGACCCGACGTGCCGGCCGCAAAGTCGCTGGCGTCGACGACAGCGGTGTTGAGGCCGCGCGTGGCGGCGTCGAGCGCGCAGCCAGTGCCCGTCGCGCCGGCGCCGATGATCAGCACGTCGAACTGGTCGGTCTGCAGGCGCGCGAGCTGCGCGGCGCGCGTCGGCGGCTCGTAGGGCACGACGGTCGAGCCGTCTTCGCACGGGATGGGCGCGACGCGGCGCGACGGCTCGTTGGCCGATGCGGGCGAAAGGGCGGCCGAGAGACCGGTGAGGCCGACGAGACCGGCGCCGAGGCCGAAGGCGCGGCGGGAGGCGAACGACGAGGCCATGTGGGGGTGGGGGCGTGTGAGAAAGTGAGTGAGGGGGCGAGGGGGGAATAAAGTGAGTGAGGGGGGGATAGTGGACGGCGGACGGTGGACGGCGGACGGCGGACGATGAGTGGTGGATACTTTTGTGGGGGGGCGGCTTGGATGGGTGGATCGATGGGGCGGGCGGACGGCCGGGAGTGGATGCATAAAACGGACAGGGGACGTATGGCAGTTGCTGGACTGTCGCAGGTGTCCGGCTGTTGACGCGGACGAGATTGAGTCAGTGTGTTTGTTTGTTCGACAGGGATACTGAATGTCCGATGCAGGATCGACATAGGATGTATGCAAGTGTCGGACCGAAAGCTAGTCGTACACATTTCGTGCAGTGTGCCAAGCCATACTTGGACACCGACAGGATGGCAGGTTCAAAAGATGGCTGTTGTCATTCGTCTACGAACGAGGTTTGCGCGTTGTTGGATACCTGCACTTGTGCAGAATACACACTCACTACGAGATGCGCTGATTGCACCGACTGCGACTTTGTGCTATCAAATTGGTGGGATGCGCTGATTACACAGACTGCGACTTTGTGCTATCAAATTGGTGGGTCCATTGCCTTAGCATCGTGCTCTGTGGAATTATGGGCTGCACGATTAGCCAGACTGACGATTGCGAACGACCTGTTGCTTGCTTAGCTGGCGGACGGGCCTGCACAGTTTGCTCAAACGTTATCATACGACAGACGTCATCTTTAACATCTGCTGCAATGGTTGCGAGAGGCTTCGCGTACGAACATACGTGTACTGCATTGTCGATCGTAGACGAGTCATTGAGCACGATCAGCCTCTGCTTGAAAGACGTCGAGTATTCGTATCGCATTCAAGCAGTTCTACTCGCTCTGGCACTGGTAGAAGTGTCGGAAATTGTGCGAGCGTGATATGGTCATGACGCAGATTTGGCTGCTTTGCTTACGTATTCGTCCGTCGTGCTAGCGATGGCAGTGAGTATCCTCGCCATTGCACGGTACTCGCTACGTAGCTTTTTGGCTGCGTGGATTTGTCGAGCATTAGTGACCGTGGCCGATTACGAGTTGCAGAGCATTATAGGAATACAAAGAAGATGTTCGCAGCAATCTTATACAGAGTGATGCACAGAGCTTGTACCCTGCAGCTGATTCCGTCAATGCCAGTCCTTGGTTTACATGATATCCCGAACAACAACACATATACAACATTTGCTTTCCGTGTCACACATGCTACAGCGCTCGAAGAAACTGACCTGAAACGAGCTCTAGTGTAGATGGTTGCAGTATCGACGGCATGTAGCGAATGCAGAATCGATGCTGTAGCTGACATGCGTAACGACTGGCTTATCTACATTGATTCGTGGCTGGCATTAATTGACCTATGTGCCGCATTTGAAGACTTGCGCCGTTTAACTGGTGTGACGGAAAACTTGGCCAGTTTTCGTATTCTTGTTTTCTTTCCCAGCATCGCACATAGTATCTTCTATACATGCCGATGTGCGGTGACGCAATTGAGATGACCAAGGCGATTGTGTTGGTGGTAAACGTAAGTGGAGATCAACACGGTATGTCCTTCATTTTGTGGTGATCCTTTGTTAGAAATTACCACACTGCCATCAATTGATCTCAGTGATGATCGTCGAATGCGTTCATATCGACTGCATAAAGCCGGTAGACGATTCTTAGCAATTCCATAGGCGACTGAGATATCCACGACCGGATCAAGCGATTTGCGATGGTCTGCCGACAGCAATTCACCGATGGCGAACACGAATGTGACTGCACACGTCGGATGGAACCATTCCGGTGCCCGACATTTGTTTACGGTCATGTTCACTCACTTGGAAAGACGTGTAGATAACGATTATTTTTGGTACAAGACTCGAGAGAAAGTGCCAGTCCGAGAAGTATGCAAGACGCTCGTACCGGATACCGACTAGCAGCGATCAGTGGAAAACAGCATACTATCATGCAACGATTGGCAAAGATGATCACTAGCACATGTAGCCAAAAGCAAGCGATGATCGTGGATGTAGAATACGGTAAGTACGCTGACAGAATGTCTGTGCTGATCATCGCATGACATAGCTGGCATGCACGAAGACGAATGACCGCATCATACGACATGCGGTATTCATGAGATGCATGCAATTCAGATAGAAAATAATACACCTAGGTTGTTTGGCGTGAGCGAGCTTCCGCGACGGGTGTGAATGGTTGTGATTGCAAACATCGCTGCTGTCTTTTCGAAGCATGTAAAATGTTGTCGAAGTCGCCTGTGTTTTGTAAGCGATTGAATGCATCACGTGTACTGTGAACCGATTGGCGAAATTGCGTATGCATCTACTCCAGTGTGCACACGTGGTCACTCTTCACTGCAGAAGTGGTTTCTGGCTCTAGATCGACACAAATTCGTGAGGCATAGCGTGATACACCAACACTCGCAACAAGACATTAGTCTAATCACTTACTCACAGCTTGCCGCTGTCGTGTAACGCAGCATATACTCATTCTCGATGTTTTTCTCACCGACTCGTCACACTGTAGTGCAACAATGTGGCACCTGCAATAGCTGCCGACTCTCCAACACTTGCTCATTTTTGCAGTAAAGGCATGCAAGCTGCTCATACTGAGCGAGTTGTCGATGCCTCCGAACGAAGATAGCACGTTATGAACACAGTATGTTTGTCATACCACTTCGTCTACACTGCATCACTTCTGTGGCAGTTGGAGTTACTCGGTAAGGCATTGGCGTATGCTTTGTAGTTGCAATGCTAACAGATTTGTTTTATGTATACCAGAAAATGGCTCTCTTTGCATGCTCCAAATGTTTTGTGTTTATTTGCTCCCCACATTGTCCTCGTGTTTTGGTACGATCGAGCTGAAGGATCACAAAAGCAATATAATTTAGGGATGGAAAAGCAGGTAGTCATAAAGTGATGCAATGCGAAGCACCAACATCAAAAATAAACCCGACTTGAGCAACTTTGCTTTCGCCGTCAGTTCTATCTTTTATAGGTTTGTCAAATGAGACGATATAGCACTCCTTGCGTCGTCTTCGACCATGGGTCAACAATAAACATTATCAAGATTTAAATGGGATCGATGGGTAAGTAATTTATCTTTGGATAAAACCAAGATTATACGCTTTTAGCTGGGTGTTTCTGCAAATTCACCGGACCATCTGACCCGCGACATTTCCTACGACCCGCGAGCCCAGGGTCAGTCGCTCTTTTTGTCCACCGGCACTAATTCGCAGTCGCTGACGTAGTCTGATTCGTGCGTCGCCATTGACCTACCGCCAGTGTGTAGCAGCTGATACCGGATGCTGACATGTTGTGCATCACAAGGTGTGATTCATTGCACACAAGTGGAAACGTATCGATGCTGGCTGACAGTCATGAACAGACACTTTTTTCTTCCGATCTGTCAGAACGTGTCAGTGCCAGCAGCACTTACCGCAGCTTCAGTTCCGTTCAGCTCAGTACCGCAACCTACAAATCAGCCGCGTCAGTTCACCATTTCTAACGCCGACTGCTTTCTATCTCGCCTCGCACGCAGAGATAGAAACGGGTCACGCCACGATGTCCCCATGCCTCCCTTTCGACCAATCATCTTCTTCCCACCTCACTACGAAACGTCCACAAACCACAGCGCGTCACCACTCGACAAATGTTGCGGCGGCCGACGCAGAGCGCGCGCCTCGTGCGCTTCGTGTCTCTCGGCACGTTGTCCAAAGTCGGCGCCGCTTCGTGCACCATGAGCGCCCTCGCGCTGTACGTGGACGCGCCGGTCGCGGATCGGGAAGACGGCGCGTACGACGGCGGGCGGCGGGGCGAGATCTTTCCCGAGTGGCTCCACAACGTCGCGCGGGTCCCGCTCTTTGGCGTGGCGACGCTCATTTCGAAAGTGTGTCTGCAGTTGCTGAACCGGACAAAGGTGGAGGGCGTGTCGCATCTCGTGGAGCAGCTGGAGACGCGTCCGAAGGGAACCGCTGTGATTACGGTGTCGAACCACTCGGCGACGGTGGACGATCCAGCTGTGCTTGCCAAGTACGGAGCTGCGTCTCTCTGTTTGTGTGTGGTTGCTGTATGAGGCGTAGTAGAGGGAAAGAGAGCAGTGGAAGTGGACAATCGATCGGTCGATCGATCGGTTGACTGACTGATTGATTAATTGATTGATTGTGTGTAGTATGATGCCGTGGAAGTACGCGTGGCCGTGGAAAGGACGCTGGAGCTTGGCGAGGTACAAGGAGAGGGAGGTGCATGCGGTTTGCTGGCGGAACCACTGCTGACGTCGACGATGTTTGGCGGTTGTTGTTGTTGTTATTGTTGTTGTTGTTTCTTGTGATTGCTATGGCCGGTGCTGCGATACTTTTGCTGCTGCTGAAGCCAGGAGTACTGCTATGAGAAGGGCAAAGTGGTGTCAGCCGTGTTCTTTGGTGCCAAGACACTGCCAGTGCACCGCGGCGCTGGGGTTGACCACGAGGTGTGTGTGTTTGCTTGTAGTCTTGTTCTGTAAATGGAACAGCAATTTTGCACGTAGAACTAACTATCTCGTGCTCTTGACGTGGTGGATAGATGATCCACGCAATCTTTGACAAGGTGGAAGAAGGTGCGTGGGTCCACATTTTTCCCGAAGGAAAGATCGTGCAGCACGAAGGTGAGTCAATTGCGACAGCGTTACAAGTCATTGACCTGCGTCCTGACGGTCTCGCAATATCTGGTGATACTGAACAGAGCTCGGCGGTCGACCAAGTCCGCGTCGCGAGGAGATTGGACGGCTGAAGTGGGGCGTGGGTAAGCTCATCGCACGTGCGACCACGCGGCCGATTGTCGTGCCCGTGTATCATTACAACATGGAGCAGCTCATGCCGCAAGACGAGAACAATTGCCTCATCCGTGTCTTGCCGCGGACGAACCTAGAACTGGGCATCATCGTTGGCGAACCGCTGTCGTTCGACGACCTGTTTGCACAGTACGAGAACGACCGCGTTGTAGGGGCCGATCCATGGGCAACGCAAGAGCGTGAAAAGGCGCTCTACTCGGCCATTACGCGGCGAATAGAGACTGCTCTGCTCACGCTCGCTGAAAGGACCCCGCCAAGTGTTTAGAGTAGTAGTAGTAGTAGTAGTAGTAGTAGCACCGAATGGCCTGTGTCTACACGCACCACGCAATGAACCAGTCAGTCAGTCAGTCAGTCACGGTGTGCAGCCCTCGTCATGTTGAAGCTGTTGCGTGACGGTAGCCAATGACCGACGCGCTCGGGCGACGTCTTACGTGGTGCACCCCATCGTGTGTGCACCACATGAACTCTCTGTCTGCCCAAGGCAGGGGAAGGATTTTCCAGAGCTCTGGACGCCGCTGCTATGAGCTCGACGCCGTTCGAGCTGTCGATCGACACGCTGGACACGTGGTGCGAGAAGCTGCTGGGCTGCAACCCGCTGACGGAGAACGAGGTGATGCAGCTGTGCGCGAAGGCCAAGGAAGTGCTCGTGCAGGAGTCCAACGTGCAGCCCGTGCGCTGCCCCGTGACCGTCTGTGGCGACGTGCACGGCCAGTTCCACGACCTCATGGAGCTCTTCCGCATCGGCGGCCACGCGCCCGACACCAACTATCTATTTATGGGGGACTACGTCGACCGCGGCTACTACTCGGTCGAGACTGTGACGCTGCTCGTGTGCCTCAAGGTGCGCTACAAGGACCGCGTGTTCATCTTGCGCGGCAACCACGAGAGCCGGCAGATCACGCAAGTCTACGGCTTCTACGACGAGTGCCTGCGCAAGTACGGCAGCCCGAACGTCTGGCGCTACTTTACCGACGTGTTTGACTACCTCCCGCTCACGGCCGTGGTCGAGAACCAGATCTTTTGCCTCCACGGCGGCCTCTCGCCGTCGATTGACACGCTCGACTACATCCGCGGCTTTGACCGGCTGCAGGAGGTGCCGCACGAAGGGGCCATGTGTGACTTGCTGTGGTCCGACCCGGACGACCGGTCGGGCTGGGGCATCTCGCCACGCGGGGCAGGGTATACGTTTGGCCAGGACATTTCCGACCAGTTCAACCACGCAAATGGACTGACGCTCATTGCGCGCGCGCATCAACTGGTCATGGAAGGCTACAACTGGTCACACAAGTGCAACGTTGTGACGATCTTTAGTGCGCCCAACTACTGCTACCGCTGCGGCAATGAGGCGGCGATCATGGAGGTGGACGAACAAATGCAGTACACATTGTACGTAACTGCTGGCTGGCTATTGCATTTGTTTTCGTCTCGCTCGAGCGCTTGGGGTTGTACACTGGATGCTGACCGTGTCGTGTTTGTCTTGTCGTCCCCACAGCTTACAGTTTGATCCGGCACCGCGTCGCGGAGAGCCCCACGTCTCGCGCCGGACGCCCGACTACTTTCTGTAATCTGGTCGTCGACGGCATCGAGGTCACGTCGACGACGGTGCGTGGAATCTGTACATCTCATGTCGTGAAGCTCTGGTCAAGTGTGATCCATCTCGACGTGTCGTCTTGGCAGCTGTGCGGAACACGCACAACCCGATGTCGCCCTGCAAAAGAGAGGTACAGGAAACTCAAGGTAGAAATAAAGTTAGCTGTGACATCGCCAGAGTTGGTCTTGTTGCTTGTTGTCACCTTCACGACATCGCCACGGACTGTAGCGACGACCGATTCAGTTCGCTTGCGCGTTGTCGTGGCCATAGGGAAGCGAGTTGTCTTTTGTGATCAGCGAATTGCATCGAGTTGCAGCACTTGGCGTCGTAGTTCGTGACTTTTGATACCTGCGCTCGTGTTAGTTGCAGTGACTAAACCTTTCGTTCTCTTTGTAGTAGGGCTGACCTGCTATTGAGGTGTAGCGTTGCCCCCTCTGCCTTTACTCGGGCTGCTTCGTACACCTGTGGCCTCACTTCTTCTCGAGACTTCGGCGCCATCTTCTGGTCGGTCGTTGCTCGAGTTGCTGTCGATGTTTACTCTCTACAATCGAATCGGACTCGAATCCGATTCGTGTAACGTGCTAATGTGAGGCGCTTTTGGCTATCTCCTGCCACCGAATAGAGACGCAAAAGGTCGAGTACGATTGCACTAACGAGCAGTCCACAGTGCTGCGAAAACACGATGACGCATCTTGTCTTCTTGTGACCCGATATGACGACGACCAAATTCGTCGATGGTCTATTTTCTAGTCACATGGTCTCTTTTCCAGTCATATGGCCTATTTTCTGATTACATCAGCCATTCAATGGGGGGAAGATAATACGCTACCAGGTAATTACGAAAAAAGGTACACCGTAAGATGAGAAAATGACAAATGAAACATCCATTGGTGAATACGCAGGGGCCATGCGATCCTTGATGTATCGATACGGATGACCACCGAAGTGGTTCTTCATCAATGGTGAATACTATGCGCTCAAACATATATTTGCTAGGGTTGACACAGAGAAATAGTTATTTGCCGTTGAGATTCATTCAAACGTCGTAGCAATTTGGAAACGATTTCGCATTCTTGGCGATTTATTGATGCCGGTCGTTTTGGCACCCATTTATCGCTTCATTTCTTACACCATATAAGTTAATGACAGGCCAGTACCTTTGTCCCAGAATGCATCAACTATACGACGCAAGCATCAGTATTCTGTATTTTCGCAAAATGATCGACTATGTGGAGAATGTAGTATAATGGAGTGTGAGTACATCGTGCTACCCGTTTAGTGTGTGCCGAGAGAACCGTGGTGCCTAAGCTTTAGTGCATCGTGTCCTCCACTGCAGAAATCAATATGGAATCGATCGTCATAGCACCATGACTGCAGTCTCCAGGGCAACACCGGTCACCAACTGACTTCTTTGTGTCGATCGTGACACTTCTCCAGCATAGCGCGCTGTATCAGCGTGCTATCCTCATTCCATACCCGCAAGCATTTGTATGGCTTCCTGCAATAGCATGGTGAAGTTTATATTAGCTCTCCGGTATCTTGTCTCTCTTTTCTGTTTGTCTAGCGCCTGATGATGCGTCATGGATACGTTTTAAACAACTTATGAAACAGTGTGTACGCGCTATTTTGACACTACGCTGTATCGCTCTATGTGAATTAAATGACACCACCAAGGCAAAATTCACCCGCCATAATGTTAAACCAGTAAGATCTCGACAAAGAGGGATAAAAGCAAGTGTCGTGCAGTCGATCGATGAGCAACATTGATACGTTACACTTTCAATGTTCAACGCGCATTTGCTGATAACTAAACTTCTGTCGGTCAGAAAGATGAGTAGGTTTGTAACGAAGGAAATTAGTGAGAAAAAGAGTAGACGATTTCCGCGGATTTACTCAAGGGATCCCAGGCATTTGTATACTCGGCCGTATAGCATTAGTGATTTGTGCAAGATTGTGCAATATCTTTGTGCATTTTGTTTTAATCTACGTAAGCCATAATGTCGCTAATTGAGTGACTAAACAAGTGACAATTGAGAGCTTCGGCCACCGTTCGGGATACAGACGTCTTGATCTAGAAGATAGAACGACTGATTGAGCAAAATTGTCACTAAATTGGCTGAATATATGCGTTTGATTGGACGGAATAAAATGTTGAACTAGCCAAGTGTAAGTGACTATTCGATCAAGTTCGCTTTCGGATATACTGTAGTCAAATAGGGGAAGGAGGAGTGATTCGGCTGGAAGTTGGCTGTTTCTTATTTTAGCTCCGACCATATCGTCTCGGCATAGCTTGATTATTACACTTTTGATCGTATTGTTGCTACACATTTCCCACATTCATGGCCTTGCAAGCATCGGAACTGTCTTAATTCACTTGGACACGTCCATATCAAGTTACGGCTCTTTGTGACGGGATATACGAGGAGTACCACCGAGGATTGTTGATTCTGGAACTATTTGGTCGTCGGGGAATATGGGCCCATAAAAGCTGGTTGAAACGGGCTGCTTTTTTCGATTACACAGGTTGAGAACCGTGGGGGTAGTTTGACAAGATCACTCCCATTCTCGCTCGTTTGGCAAAACAGAATGAACAGTTCAAATCATGTATTGACAAACGTCATGAGCTTTTCATAGCGAGTACCTCTGCCAATATTTCCAATACCAGTACTTGTCCCGAATGTAGTACTGACACCTCCCCTTCTCGTGTGAATCTAAAATAAGATGCACAAGATACATTCAGTGGAAACTTTTTATTGGTAAATTGCATGTACCCAGAATGTATAAACGTTCTGTTCAATCAACTGGCACATGAGCCTCAATCAGGTCGCCTTGGTGCGCAGCAGCATGCTCATCATTCGAACCTGTAACTCTCGTCAGTCTTGTGCTTTGCGCATCAAATATTGCATAATGGGCTAGAGGTGATGACTCAGTTACACGCGCTTCACTTTGCACATTGCAACATACATTTCCATCTGTGGCAAAATACCATTCCACTATAGCTGAGAAGCGCACACATTTCAACTATGTGGCAACATGCCGCAAACACCAACAAAAACAGACAATTAGAAGCCTATGCACTACCAGAAAACCTTCGCAATTGCCGATATCCCAGCTGCACGCCAAAATACAGTATCCTCCGTCTACATACGGCATCGTGCTAAACGTGGGACCTTATACGATGCGCTGAAAGATGTGCAAATCGCAATTGTGTCATATGAAGCTTTTCTATCTGTCTGACACCTCAAGCACACATTGCACGATGACGTTCTCTTAGCTAAACGCCACAATTGGACTGGAACAAGTGGTACACATATATATCGGGGCGTATGGTTCGTATATATAGGGACGAAATACAAGTATGGATGCAAAACATGTGGGTACTGGGGATGCCAGTATTGGAATCAGAAATGAGAGATAACGCAATGGAATTTTTTGTGTTTAAGCACAAGTAAGATTAGCGAGAATTTGCGAGTCTGAGAGACCATTAGATCTCAGTTTGGTGACCAGTAGTGTTGGGATAATGCGAATAGCAGCAGCACAACTAATGATACAAGCACTGAGTCAGCGTCCGCCGCCAAATAAATCTTGCAGGTCTAAACATGATTGATACGTCATAACTAGGAAGATGTATGTACGACACCATCCTACTAACCCCAATTTAATCTAGTATTTGA